AAAAAAAAAAAACCAGTTGAAGCCCTCTCCCTGATCTCATTCCTCCTAGAAGTAAATTGCACCCCCACCCCCTATCTAGGTCCCTGGGAGATGCAAACTGTTTACACTCTTGAGGTTGGTGGTTGTACCCATCCCACTTCGCCATAAAAGCTAGGCCTAGCGATACACCTCCATAAAGATGAGAGCCCAGAAAACCCTAGGAGCTCAGCTCTGCTCGTGTAGTACACAGCGTTACCAGGAGTCTGACTGGGTTCGTTTTTACTCTGAATTTGCTCTTCATTAGTGACTCGACGGCACTTGACAACAACAACAGCATGCCTATGTTTGAGTTTTATCCTCACTACTTATCTACCAAAAAAGCAAAAACAAAAACCAGCAACCAATGCCATCAAGTCCAGTTGCTAATGGAAAGCCTCATCTTTCTCCTGGTGGTACTTACCCTTCAGCACCATTGGGCTCCTTCACAACTTACTGATACTCACTGAAACCCACTGCCATCCAGTCCATTCCAACCCCTCGCGCCTTGCGGAAGCAGCCAGCCTCGCCTTCTCCCGCCAGCCACACTTTACGTACAGGATTGGTTTGCAGGTTTTTAAACTTCATACCACGCTATACTGTTTCATTCTGCATCTTGCTCTTGACATTAACACTGCGGCTCCAGTGTCCAAATATGCCTCAGATCCCTGTCCTTCCAGGGATGGACAAGCTGTACTGTCCACAGTTTGAGTCTCCAGATTCAGCCCATGTGAAATAGGTGACTCCCTCCACTCCCTGGTTGCACTGGGGTTCCAACATAGGCATTTTAGCGCAGCCAATCCAGAGGCCCTGCGCAGCCCAGTGCCTCGTGTTCTTGCTTACTCTAAATTCTGACCATGCCTCAAACCTAGCAGCCACACACACACACACGCACACGCACACACACACACATCCTCCTAAACAAATGTCCCGTCCCACTGATCCCAACTTCTTGGCTAATTCCGGTTCCTCCCGCTTTTCCCTTGGGCATGTTACATCCCACTCCACTCTGTGCTCCCATGCCTTCCCATGCCTTCCCATGCCCTCACCTCCCTGTGGTGGGGAACTGCTGCCAATTCATCCCTCGTACACAGTGGCATGAAACATTGCCCAGTCCTGTGATCAGTTCTGGATCAGACCACAGTGACCCACAGCATTCTCGTTGGCTGATTTTCACAAGCCGATCACCAGGCTTTTCTTCCTAGTCTTTCTTAGTCTAAACACTCCACTAAACCTGCTCAGCATCCTAGCTGACAGACAGGCTGGTGCCTTGACTGTGATTCGACCCCAGATCTCCAGCATGAAAGGAGTCTTTCCCCTTGAATGACTGACTGCCTCTCCTCTTTGTCCTGAGCTCCAGGAGGGCAGGGTCCTCCCAACTTGTTCACTGCCACAGCCTCAATAGATTACTGAATGAATGAAAGAATGAATGGAGTAAACATATCTTCTTCATTCATTCTTTTAACCACGCAGTGAAATTCACTCTGCTAAGAACTGTTCTGAGTTTTGTTAACTATGTGGAACAGCTCCATCGCTGCTGTTTCATTAGTGCCATTAAGTGGGTTCTGACTCATAGTGACCTGGTAGAGGGTTTCCAAGGAGCAGCTGGTGGGTATGAACTACTAACTTACAGTTGGCAGTCCAGTGCTTATCCGACAGCACCACACAGTGCCATTATTCCCCCCAGAATTCCCTCATGATCCTTCATAGTAATCCCTTTTTCCAGCCAGCACTGCTGGTTTCTGTCCCTGTGGTTTTCCTTTTCCTGAACGTCATCTCTGTGGTCTCAGATGGGCCAACAGCTCCGTCCTGAGCCAGGCGGACAGTGCGGGAGCCATAGCAGGAAGGCGTAGGAGATTTACGTTGAATGTGGTAGAGCTTTAGAGACAGACGTTGCAGCCCAATGAAAGCCTGAAATTCAGAGTGTTTTCTGAGTCCCAGTCTTGGTGCAGGCCCATCGAAGCAGGTATTCCTGTCCACATCACTCACACAAGGACACCAGGGCGTGCCAAGAAGGCACAAACCAAACCCTCGCACCGTTCCTGAGCACCAAGCTCAGTCTTAGCCCTTTTTCTTTATAATTATTATTTGTAATTACAGAGAGCAGAGCAAAGTCCTTTCAAGAGGCATTATTTTAATCAGGGGATTTCATTTGCTAATTTTTATAATAGAGAGAGAAAAAAACCCACAAAAGTAAGGATGACTACATTTCTTTGTTCTGTGGAGATGGATCAGCAAATAGTTGCCTTCCCGCCCCTACCGATCGGGACCTGGCAGGGCTTGACCACCTCTCTAAGGGGCTCTTGGTGCTTCTCTGTGAGCTTGGTTTTGTCAGGCTAGGCCATCTGAGCAGTGCAGGGCTCTGTGTAAAAAGTTTTCTGAAGAACGCCTGCTCTTTCCAAAGTGATGTTCCGGGGGCGTGGGTTTGTGTGTTTCCCAGGAGGCCATGTGCTGGCACATCTACCCCTGCCTATCCCAAGGCAAGGGCCTGATTCTGTGTCCATGACCTGAGCCCCCGCCCCCAGGAAGAGCACTCCCCACTTGACTCCCTTCCCCACACTCCTTGTAAATTTCCAGGACGCTCTTGGACAGGGTTTTGCTTTCTCGGCTGTAGTCACGACTGGGCAGCACAGAAGGACCCCGGTATTGGGTGGTGAGACCTCGGTTTAGTTGCCTCAGAGACTCTTCACAGAACCAACACCACACACGAGTGGCTTGCTGAGAATGCCAAGAAAAACAACAGGGAGCTGCTCCAATGACGGGGCCCCCAGGACAGACCAAGGGAGGCCTGAGAAGAGCCGGCCTGTGCAGTCTATTAGCCGGGCAGCCATGATTTTGACCTTGCTGTGGGTTAAAGGACACAGACCTGCAGAGAAATCTGTTTATCATGTGGGGAATCCATGCCGCCCTTGACAGGCTACAGTGAACAAGATGGATGATCTGCCAAACTGGTCCCTCGCACGGGTGAATCAGGGCAAATTCACAGTACAGTTCCTTTGCTGCTTCGGATACAAAAATAACATTTGCCAGGTTTTATATCCAGTTGTAGGATGACCCGGAGGTGAGCCGAGAGGAGAAATCCGATTTGTAGGATTCCTGCTGCCTCAAAGATTTATATGGACCATTTCTGCCTTTCCCACCTGTCTCTTTTACATCTAGCACAAAACCAGTTTTTGTAAACCTCATTTCCCAGCTTGTGACCATGGGACTCAGTCGGTTTCAGGACAATAAATGGGTTTATCGGTGGAATTGCTGTTGCTTTCCTTGACATTTGGCTCTTCCTGGGTGTTCTCACAGACCCATTCCTCTTATTTAAGGAGCTCTGGTAGTGCAGTGCTTACGAATCGGCCTGCGAACCTCAGGGTCAGCAGTTCAAAACTGCCAGCTCTTCTGCGGGAGAAAGATGAGGCTTTCTGCTCGCATAAAGATTTATAGCCTCGGAAACCCTGTACAGGGTCGCTGTGAGTCGGAACCGAGTCCACGGCACATAACCACCAACCCCATTCCTCTTAATTGAAATACAGTTTCTCTCTTCTTGACTTCAAAATAAATGGTTATCCTGGGTACAATATGAAGGCACTTCCTGAACTTCATGGAAAATACAGGATTCGAAGGTCTTGGAAATTTTTTTGAAGCCCCTATGCCCGGCAAAGGCCATACCAATTATGTGGTAAATTGAAATGAAATAAGTACTTGGGATTCAATTTTCTTTTTAGCCAGGTGGCTTGTATTTAGGGCACAAGCCATTGGTGCTGTTGTGGGCCGGCCAAGCAACCTGCTAGGGTTGAGAGAGAAGCCAGCTAGAGTAAAACCTAACCCTGCCTTGCGGCTGCTCTCTCTAGAAGCCATCTGCTTGGCCCCTCATTTGTAGCACTGGATCCTTACCAGGCAGTGCTCCGTATGGGCGGGGGAGAAGAGAGTACTCCAAGCATGGAGCCAGAGACACATTTTCCATGAGAGCCAGGACCTCAGCACAAACTCACTAGGAGGTTTTCTTCCTGGGCACAGTCCTCCTCACTGTTTGGAAATTAGGAAATTGCCAAAATCTCTATTCCCAAAATGTGAGCCAAGCCTATCTTGTTGACTCTTAAAGGTAGCCATCTTGAAGAAGCCAGGCATTGGCACTTATCAGTAGACTGTGTGGTAACAGAGCCCTAGGTGTCTACAGTTGTGCCAACAAGGCAGAAAGAGGTCCTGTCTGAGGAAGGAGAGTCTGGAGACCCAATGTCACACCACAACACAGTCATGGCACACAGAGAGGAGCAAGAAGCTTCGTCATCACAAGCAGGCAGTACTGACAAGTTCTGGGTTTGACCGAGAGCCTTGAACTGGAAAAGACAGAAAACAGAGGAGTGCTCCCCTTCTCTCTGGAGCCTTCTGGGAGTCGCAGTAAAAAGCAATCTGGGGTACTGAGCAGCAAAATCTTGATCACAAAAGGTCCCAGCCCTGGGCTGTCAGTAACTGAGGGCCTTGGGTTTCCTTTCCAGTGGTCTTTGGTCACTATGGTGACCACACATCATAGACATCCTTTGTTTGAAATGATCTGTCCCGTTGGGTGGTGGTAGTGGTTCTGGAAAATATGGACAAAATAATTATGCGTGTTATAATCCAGCCAAGGTACTTCTGAGTTATAGAATGATAGGGTGTCATTAGATGACATCTTGACAGTAGTAACACATGATTAATGTTAAAAAGACCTTTTTTAACAGAATGCTCTTATTTTATGCCGTCAGAAACCACTTATTTAAATCCTAAGGGGTTTTTTTTTTTCGGTTGCTGTTTTTGTTATTGTTTTAAATAAAATTAGAGGTTACTCTCAGTCAGAAAGTCCTATGAGACAATTCATTTAGATCCATACAGTACCACACTGTTTATGTCTTATACAGGGCATTTAATTAGTATTTCTTAGATGATGTAAAGCATACGTATACGTGGTGAAAAAATAACTCCTTTAAGCCATGGTTTCTCTTGTGTTTTCATTACAGAAAGCACTCCAAAGACCTCTGCCAGCTGCAGCCCTGCGCCTGAGTCACCCATGAGTTCGAGCGAATCCGTGAAGAGTTTGACTGAACTAGTCCAGCAGCCTTGTCCCTCCGTAGAAACCAGTAAGGATGGCAAGCCGCCTGAACCCAGCGAACCTCCAGCTTCAGACTCCCAGCCCGCAACCCCACTGCCTCTCTCTGGCCACTCAGCTCTCAGCATTCAAGAATTAGTAGCCATGTCTCCAGAGCTGGACACCTACGGCATAACCAAGAGAGTTAAGGAAGTGCTGACGGACAACAACCTCGGTAAGCTCTCTTCTCGCCAGCTAAGGTAGAAGGAAGGGAAGGTGTTTCCCATTTGAGTCTGTAGAATTCAAGGAGGAGTAATGGTTGCAACCAAACCTGTCTAACTAACTTCATCAGGGGTCGTGAGAATCACCCTCAGCACAAAGCTGATTCTCATGAAGCGGAGGTCAGACGTACCTCCACTGCCCAACCTTTCCACCAATTCCGACAGCAGCCAGCTCTACCGGAGTACATTTTGCTTCCGTTGCAGTGGTTCAGAGAACTCGTGAACTGGCTTATTAGGGGACAAGGTACAACTTGGGATCAGGATCTCTGGACTGTTATTACTCAGGATTGGGAGGCATGGAGGCAGCCTCCCGTCTTCTGTGCAGGGCTCTTCTTACAGTTGCTCTCAGCCTCCTGGCCCTGCTCTCAGCGCCGACTCTCCTGCAGGGCTTGTTGCCGTGACCTGAGCTGCAGCTCTGTTTTGGAGATGCCTCCCTTCCTCTCTCTCTGATTCGTCTTCCGTCAGCTTCTGCTGCTGCTTGGCTCTGTCGCTCTAAACCCTCTGTGGGGCTGACTGCTTAATCACATGGGTTCC